AGTTATTGACAACCGTAGTGAAGAATTACTCCATTTTGGATCATTTTAATTTTCTCTGAAATTAGGTAGGTACACTTGGAATTAACATCTTTTGCCTTACTTTTGCAAAAGGTCAACAGTTTACTTGAATTTCAAAAGCGGATGCAGTACAGTGAAACAGCATTCTGAAGCAGCATGTTCCACATAGCTGGGAGCAAGGGAACTGTGGAGGTCTGTGCTGGAAAAGCTCATGCAAATCTATTCTTTCATAACTGAGAAATGTGGGGTTACAATATCTTCCACCTCAGCAGCAACTTCTATCCTGCAGATATTTTTGTTTCTAATATAAAATATTTCTGATATTTTTCATTTCTATGCAAGATATTGATTCATGAAATAAAATCCTTTCATAGGTTTGGAAAGGACACACCTTGACTTTTAAATTTCTTGAGAGCAACAAATGTCTTTCACACAAAATATTGGCAAAGTGTGCAAAAGTAATTGCCAACAAACAAAACACATTTATTATGTTTTCTAATATGAACTGTCATATATTATAGAACAATTTCTTTTTTAAGATAAAAATATACAGAGTATAACATTGTTTAATGTTGCCATCTAGTCCTTACACCAGAAAAAATCTGCATAGTCAGTAATAGTAATAATCTGATATCTCTTACACTGGACATGGATAAAATTCCCTATACTGAAAAAAATCATGATCCCCTTCTCCACCTTAACCTGTTGAATACAGACTGGAGATAGTAACTGCTTGTGCTTGTATTGCATATTGCACTCTGATGCAACATGACTGCCTGGAAGCACTTTGGCTCCATAGTGGAGAGATGATCTGTGAAATAAAAACTTCTTGATTGACACTCTGTTACACTTTATTTTTCTAGCTTTCAAATATTTAAAATGTACCTTTACATTCAGCCACTGTAAAAATATATATCATAACCTCAAGCCCAGGATGTGAATTACACAGTAAAAGAATATTAAGGTGTGACTCTGGTAATTGGTAATATTAATCTACCATGTGCATTACAAAGTCTTCCCAGGTTTGGGGTACCTACGGTATCGTTCTGTTATGTAGATGTATGTCGCTCACAGCTGACAGCATCAACAATTTGCTCTGCACCTGGTCCTTGACAAACGCCTTGAGGCAAAGCTGAGACTGCAGTTCCTGCTTCCCTCATCAGTGCAGTCAGATGCAAATTAAATACATTTTAATTATGATGTACCCAGAGCTCTTACCAAAACTGAAGCATACTGTTGCCTATAGTGAACCACACATCAAACATCTATGATATAAAAAAAGAGGAGGAATGTACAGGATGTGCATGTCAATTTCCATCTGATACAAGGAAGTAATTAAGCCTTCTCTGTTGTGGCTTTAGGTAGGTTGTTTGAAATTAAATGCTGGAGCAATGTTTATACTATCGTAAATAAAATCCTCGTTCAACGGTTTTTACTCTAAAGCATTAACCAGCACGGCTATTAGTTGTTTTTTTGTGAGGGTAAAAAAATAATGTTCCGCCATCTTCTTCATTTTAAGTTTTGATCCAGTTACAAAATGTGACAAACAGTAACTTCTAATTATTTTTATATAAAAATGGAGCTTCAACATTTAAGAATTTAAACAGCGCTGAATCAAATTGCATGTCCTGAAGGGATTAAAATGTGCCTCATCGGGAACGTTATCTACAGGACGGTGCAGACTGGGCTGGGAGGAGAAATACAGGTTCCCAGCTTCAATACCCATCACTCCTTCTGTACTGTCACCCTGGAAACCGAGACCTAGAGATCTGTTCTTGGGAAGTGATCAAGCCTGATTACTTGAGCCCCTGTATCACTCCTATAAAAACAAGCAAACTTCAACGTGACATTTCTCCTTTTAATTAGATTCCCCCTCTGGACAGAGAGTCCCATCCTGATAGTCTGAGTTGTAGGAGAAGTAGTAGAGGTCTTGGCACACAGCCATGAGCAGCCCAGGGAGGCCGCTTCGCCCGCCGAGCTGCGAGGAGAACACCACGCTGGGCACAGAGTCTTTCCCGGCAGGGTGAGGGGAAGGGATCGACCTGAGCAGCCGCCCGTCCCCCAGGCTCCAGAGCCGGGTGTAGCAGTCCTGACCCACTGTGAAGAGCAAAACACAATGTGAAAATGACTATGCCACACCCCCGTTCTTAACTTTTCAAAGGTGTACTCCACACTAAGGAGACACCCGTCTTTCACTATGAAGCCAATCTTTGAAAAAATGCAGAATACAGTCTTCCACACTGGATTCAGACTTCTTTTCGGATATGTTCCCCTCTTTTTTCCTGTGCTGTAGATCCTGGTCTCCTACAATAAGATGAAAAACAATCTGGCCACCAGGGGGCCCTGTTAGGCTCAATTAGTAAAGGTTATTGTTCTGAGCAGAGCTCACTTTCAGCCCTGTGGTCCAGAAAATGTTGGTCCAGGTATGATCTTAGTCATCAAATCAAATTTAAATAGGATTCACCTAGTATTGTCACAAAATGAGCTGTAATTTGGAAACTATTTTGATTTTTTTTTATTTTGATGTCTTGTTCCCTTGTTAAACTTCAGTTAAAAGATTTGAACAAAACATAATTAGTTGAGCCCTGCTAGAGTTGGATGGTGTGGAGTCAGACAGTGACCCCTCTGTGGGGAAAAACAGGCCTACGGCTCATGTGGGATGACATGAACAATCCTTATTTCTCCAGCACTGGAATGAGAGTAACAGTAGTGATGGCTATTAGCAGAAGGAAAACTCATTTCTGATGTAAAATTTAAAAAAAATAAAACGGGTAATTCATGAAACCACATGCACCTTAAAAAACTAGTTCTGGCGCACTATGGCTGCCGTTGCATCATCCAAGTGGATGCTACACATTGGTGGTGGTGGAGGGGAGTCCCCATTTCCTGTAAAGCGCTTTGAGTGGAGTGTCCAGAAAAGCGCTCTATAAGTGTAAGCAATTATTATTATTATTATCTTGCAACAGTACAATTCTTTGATCTGCTGTAAATTAAAATGAGCATGAACCCTGGTTGTAGTAACAGTCTGGTGCTGGACATAAACATGACAGTACATGCTTGTAGTGTGTGATAATACTGAAGAAACGAAGAGGCAGATTCATTAGCTTTTGCACCAGTATCACACTCTTCACCACTCTGAAATGTCTCAGAAATCTGTACAAGCCAACCATACCAGAATTTTTAGTTTCTTGGTAAAAATGGTGCAAAGACTGCCTGGAACAAACACTGTAACATGCATCTTCCAAAACTAAATGTTCTGGCATCAGTGGAAAAGTTGAAGACAAACCTGCCAGCAGCAGTCTCTCTGGCTCATTCACATGTAGAGGCAGGTAGGCGTGCTCGTTGAAATGGCCTTCATACTGCTGTACTGCTCTAGACATCCTCAGATCCCAAAGTTTAATCTGCGAATTAAATTCTCATGTGTAAATTGAACTGGACCCAATGGTTCCTACAGCACTTTCAAAAAGAACAAGTGTTGTAACTCCTATTACAATGAGTGGGCAATCCCTACTTTCCTGTAGTTTCTAACAGATCCTGTAATCGGATTTTCTTCTTCTTACTGTGCTTTAATTTAGTAATGATTTCATTTTAATTTAGCAATTTAGTGATTTTTTTTTCAGTAACAGAATCTTGCCAATCCTTTGCTTGATTTTCCTGGCGATTAAAGATAACAGGCACATTTTTTTCTAATAACCTTACTGAATAAATGACTACAATGTTTCACCACATGGAGCAGACCATTCTATCCACCTTGAAAGTCCTATTTTAACTTGTCCTACAGATAGCGGACAGGTTGCCACCTGGGTAAATGAGGGACACTAAGGATATTTAAAACTATGTCTCCCACACAAATGTCACTCATGCTGGGCAGGCCTGGTTGCCTTTAGTAATGTCTAGCATGACTGCAAGAGGAGACTTCACTGACTTCGGAAAGAGGGGTGATTGTTGGGGCAAGTTTGGCAGGAACTTCAGTAATCAAGACCGCTCAGTTTGCAGATGTTTCATTAGCAATGGTGAGTCTGAGGGAAAGACAGGGCAACAGCAGGTGAAAGCACATACCCCAGGATCGTGATATCTGTGTAAAGAGTTGAATTACAAGGCAGTCTGAATTCAAGAAAAGGTTAACAACTGAAGACCAGTTGCGAATCCAGTGGTGCAAATAGCTCAGACAATGAACTCCAAAGTAGTTGAGAAATGTGATATGGTCATATGTGATGCAAACCTAGAGAACTCTGCAGCCCTGAGTGCTTGGTTCCAGCAGTGAGGGGGAATGGTGGTTCAGAAATGTTGCAGGGTGCCTCCTGATATGGTTTGAGGGCCCTCACTCCCCTTAAAGGCAAGGTGAATGCTAATCGCTACTTAATGGGACTAAATGATCATCTTCCAGGATGAGAACGAAACCCAATAATTTGATAACCATGACAACAATGTTATCAAATTGTCATGGTCTTCTTCTCAGTCACCAGTTCTGAATCCAATCAAGCATTTATGGGATATTTTGGAGCGACACCTGAGGTGGTATTTTTCAGCTCCATCTACCAGGAGTGATTTGTCCAGCTTTCATATGGAAAATTGGTGCTGCATCCCTCCTGCAGACGTACAGTTGGCTGACTCTATACCATGGCACAAACAGGTCCTACTGGCTGCATGTGGTGGCCCATGCCGTATCAAGTGACTCTACACTGGTGTTTCTATTTTATTCTTGTCAACTATCTGTAATAGTGAACAAAAAGACACAACTGGAAGGCAGCAGAAAAAGAGTGGAAGGAAGACCATCGTCATAGCGTGGTGTCCCGTGAGGTGCAGAGAGAAATACAACACAGGGTAAACTGTGCTCTGGACATCGCAGGCCCGGATGGGAGCAGCCCTGAAGATCCTCACCTTGCCCAGCATGTCGGCTGCAATGAGGTAGTTCTCGTCGTGCAGGATGCGGACGGATGTGATGGCAGACTCTTGGTAAAAGCGGCCCCCCTTCCAGCTGTTTCCCCTCCGTGCTCTCTGCCGCAAGTCAATGCTGAAGATCTCGCCCGAGCGACAGCCATTGTACAGCACTGGGGCCTGGAGAGGGGGAAGAAGTGAAGGACAGGAGACATGCAGTTCTTTCAATTCCGGAAGATTCTCAACTTAGTTTTTAACGGAGAATTGCAACACTACTTTCATATTTTGGGGTTAGAAAGCATTCAAATTGATGAGTGCATTTCAGTACACAATAAAAGTCAAATGTCCACAGTTACTTGTAAAACCTCCAATTTAAATCACAAAATTTCCATATTCTGTGAGGCAACAAAACATCCAGTGATGAGTTGCAGCCCTATTGTAAACAAGCCGGCTTATTATTAAATTGAAATATTGTTCTTGATTTCAAGATGGTTTTGCTGACATATGCTACTTACTTTTTAACTCTGCACAGATCACATTGGAACATTTGTGCGGTGAAATGTCCACTGCAAAACCTACACTTATTCGCTCGTACATCGCATTACATTAGTCATTACAGTGACTAGTGAGCAGGAAGGGCCGCATCTCGTGGGAAGTCTCACTCTCGCCCGTGCCAGGACCAGGGATTTGCAACAAGGTGGTGACTTACAGCACTTTCACAAAGTTCTCAATTTTGTGGTTAATTTGGAATTTGTAAACTTTTTCTGTAATGTCAATTAATTTATTTTGTTACCGAGATTTAATAACTGGTGTGAGAAATTGGGGCTGTAGTTCCCCTTTAAGTTAAATAGGCACTACACATCTGCAGTTCTTCTGTGATTTCAATGTGTTCATACAATCTGTTTGATTTGCTTCAAGGCACTTCTCTAAATTTTGCATTATATTTTGTCTCACAGTGCTTTTATCATGATAGTGTTGTTTTACTCTCCCTTTGGTGTGGCATGCCTTTTAAATTGTATGAGGGTTGAAGTTATTGTTACCAAATAAGTCTGAAATGGCAGAGTTTAATAGAGAATAACATCATTAGCTTAACACAACATTAAGAAAAGTCTGACGCCTAGTGTCTGTTTATTTAAAACCCATCTACGTCTTCGTTTTGTGTCTCCAGAACGGAAGAAGTGAAGGTTGGTGTGGCAAGACACCAGCCAGACCTTGCAGGCCACCCATGCTGCCTTACAGGCCCAGTGGTCCACATAGCAGGAGGTGAACCGACTACAGCAGGGAATAAACTACATTAGACCACTGATGAGGGCTGGAAACTGTCTTGCCAATCACGAGGCTGAATGGGTTCACCTGAAAAATACAGTCTCTTTGGACCTGAACAGAGCAACAGAATATTAGATATTGCCAATGATCTAATGAGGGCAAAATCTCAAATGAGCGAGGACCAGGTAGTGTGAATAGCTCCTATAATAAAGGAACATATGGACAACAGAACCTGCAGGTTAGTTACCACCAGCAGGTTCAGGGGAGATGATTCCACCTGGAGGACAGAATGATTTTCCTCCTTCCTACATTAAAAAGAAGATTATTCACAAGCTGGCAGATAATATAATGAATTGGCACATTTGAATTGAAAACGCAGCAGCCTGATATACACAAGCCAGAACTCATATATCATCTAAAATGTACCCGGCTCTTAGCAACATAGAAGGCTATAGCAATTACCCAGAAGAACCCAGGATGTCTAACACAACAATATTACTTTCTCTGGGGTGGTAGTGATTGAATGTTCTGCCCTATAGAGTGCCGCAGTTAAACAATCTGAAGTTAAAAAATAGCTGTCTCTTAAAGTAATATAGAAAAGCCACCATATTATGAGTTGTCCAGCTGCATAATATTTGTCCCTAAGCTGGACAGAACAAAAGAGGTTCTATTAAGCCTTTCACTGGCTAAATGAGGAGTCAAAATCTGATGCCTATCCAATATCCAATGACCTGTCTATATGAATTAATCAAGAGATAATCAATCAATCAATCAATCAATCAATCAATCAATCAAGAGATAATTGCCCTTAGCAAAACCAGGTAGGAAAAGACTGCTTTCACCACACCAGCAGTATCATATCTGTACCACTTTCTTGTGCTGCTCTTTGGTCTCTACAGTGTGCCTGTGATATTTTAATGTATGATGGATAAGATCCTACTGTACATTCTCGTGGGTATATCTGGATGATACTGGCATTTTTAGCAAATACTGGATGACACACCTACTGTTTATGAATAGGTCATGTTGGACAGTGCCAGGAACTCTAGCCTTACAGTTGACTCCTTAAAGAAAAAGACTAGGTTCGTGCACATCAGAAGTTTTGGGCATGTGGTTGGATGAAGACAGATGAGGATGAAGACTCAGCTGGACAAAGTGGCCACCAGCAGAAAGTGACCTCAGCCCCATAACAAAAGCAAATGAGGTCCTTCCTTAGTTTGATTGCGTATTACCTGGTTCACAGAGCGGGCAGTACCCCTGAGGTCATGAAAAAGGCAGCCACCAACGCATTGGAAAAAGTGACGTGGCATTCACAGATCTGAAGTTGGCTCTCTTCACTAACCCTGTCTTGTCTGAATAAATAAGTCAGCATAGTCAACTCCCACGTCACCTCTGTGCTCCTGTCGCAGGAAGTTGAAAGGATTGTCTTGTTGTGAAATGGACTATGGATGCCTGGGTTGTGAGAATATGTGCCATGCTGGCTGGGGAAAGTGTAGTGCAGCACTGGTCCAAGCAAGGCAAGTTGTACCTACAATAAATGGCCACAAGAGAGCAGTGTAGGTCCTGTTTCTGACCTACATAGCTACACCACTAAAGGAATGTTAAGTGGCTTGAATACTCTCAAGGAACATAACCAGTGATATCAGCCATGATACAACAGCTGAAAAAAGCAACAGCGCACCTTTAAAGAAGCAGTTCAGCTCATTAGGCAGAATTAGAGGTGGCTTACTGAACAATTTGACTTTGGACCAGGGCTGGTGAAAAATGGTGTCCCCCATGTTAGAAAAAGAGAAACTGTAAGAGAGGTCAGAGTGCTACCTTGTATGTTTTGTGAAAATATTGGTCGGCAGTTCCCACCTTCAGGGCAAAGAGGAACTCAACTTCATATGACATAATTCTGAAGGGAAAGATCCTGGACCATTTGACCGGTTTTCACTAAATAAGGCTGACCGCTCCTACGACAATAATTCACAACTTGTCACTCTTTACTGTGGCAAAATGTGTGTAACTACACAATGGGGAAACTGGCCACTTAATATGAATGTGAAAATCCCATTTTCAAGGTTAAAATGGGAAACTGGATTCTTACTCACCCGCAGAGCAAACTGCTGTGCCAGCACATCACTGCTGATACCATATGTCTGTCTACGGCCAGTCACGGCATCTGTCACAATAACACGCCGTGATAAACCTGAAAAACAGTGTCTCCAGTCAGAAATATTGTTCATAAGCCACAGTAAGTCAGCAGGCAGTATTAGGCTGAACAGAACAAGGATGGGTACCTGTGCTGAAGTTCTTATCTGCCTGGGGGTTCAGACACCAAGCACATGACCAGGCTGTCGAAATTTTAAAACTGCACAGCATTCCTGGTTGGTCTAAAAAAGAGAGAGTGAGAGGGGAAGTAAAAGACTTTGAGGACTGTAAAGGTAAAAAAAAGCCAAAAAACAAATGATTAGGGTACTTGTCTGGTGAGGCGAAATTCAAGCATTCCCAAAGAAGATGATTGGCATTCCCTACAAAAGTGTACATACTATAAACATTTTCCTAAAAAAAAAAGGTGACTTCATTTTTCATTTTAAAACGGCAACAAATTGTGTTTACAAAAGCACAATTTTGCTGTAATTTTGTGATGACAATTTCAATTTCTCATAAGACCACAAAAACTAGGGGAAATATGGACAGAACAATATAGAAAAACCTCCATGTCAGGCAAAGGATATCAGTTATACTATATGAGGATACATTTAAAATTACATAAAACAAAGTGTCATGATTTTGATGGTCAGTTTTGCAACCTGAAAAATGAGGATCAGACACAAGGACATTTCTTTCACTTGAGTTATCCTACGGGCAAAATATAGGATCTGACCACTACTGAGTCAACTGCCACAAATTTGCAATAGTACGTTAGTAAAACTAAGGAATAAATTATTGTATCAGATACAATAGGCCAAGCAATACACAACAGTCTGCAGGACTAACAGCATTTTCAAATATAATGAAGGAGAGATTTCACAAGGAACAAAAATGCTGTTAAAAAGCTGCCTAGAAAGGACTGTTTCCTTACCCAACGACTCAAAAGACCTGTAAAAATAAATTTTAATGCTTTCCAAAAGAAGACTAATAGACAGAATTAACCTTGGCTGTGACTGCAGAGGAGAACTATTGATGAAACTAACAAAGAGACTGATTGCCCTGCCATGCTGAGTAATTGAGGCACAGCGTTAGACTCTACCATGTCATCAACTGACTACAAGGTCTGATAAGAACCTAAAAAACAGGACAACCCCAAAACCGCCTGCTCAATACAACCTCAGTCCTCTTAATCTGAGTATCCTTGACTCTCTAAAGAAGCAGAACAGGTTGTCTATACTGTATATAGAGTGTTAATTAGACTTGTAAATCTTCAGAGGGATTCTCTTAACAACATGTTAAGAGTAATGCATTAAACAGTCTTGAGAACTAGAAAGATGTAAAACTGCACCATTGCTATCAAAAAATGAATGGGAGTGTTGGAAAAGAACACATTAAAAATAATTTTATACCCAGTGAAGTTAACATGTATGCCAATCAGAGACGCATTCAGGCAAGATTCACATCCTTAAGGATAAATAATGCATATTTAACGATTTGATACAATCATTCTGAAAGATTGTTTAGTTGACAGCTCTGTTTTCGGGAAGGATTAGTGTATTACAGTACATGATTTGGCCTGGGGACAAAGCTAGTGACAGAATGGTGTAAAGCACACTGTCAGCTGCTCTCACCTGGGTTTGAATTGCTGAATAAGGATGCTGGTAGCAGGCTTACACAGCCTGGGGTTTGTGCAATACCTACAAGACAAAGGCTGTGAAAGTCTGTCAAGAAAAAAAAATGAACATTTGTAAAAATCAAGACAGACCGAATCACTTCTCATTGCAATACAGGACGTAAATACTAAGAAGTCAATTGTGTTTGCTCTTCCAGTGTAATACACAACATTAAGCTTTTTACAAATTTTACAACATAAAACTGCTAATCATGTCTACCAAAACTTTGGGGAATGTGAAAATATTATCTTTATAGAAAACAAGATTTTTCTAAAATCAGGTATGAAAGGGCTATACATAAAAGAGTAACATATGAAACATTACAAATAACAGGAGGCTATTCAGCCCACCTAGTTAGATGTTAATTTATCCAAGGATCCCATAGACTTTCTCTTGAAAGAAATCAGGATATCATCTTAAACAACATGGTTGGGTAATTTTTTTCCATACTGCTACAACCCCTTTGGGTAAAGAAGTCCACACGTTTCTCAGTTTTAATTGACTTCCACTACATTTCCACTTCTGCCCTCTGGACATTCCCTTAAGCCCTCGAATGTACCTGATGACTAGCTGGTCTCCATGACATTGAATAAGAGTCTGTCAAGTGAATCATCACTTATACATTTATTAAAAAGTGTCAGACCATTTCCAAGCACACTCCAGAGTCCAGAGACAGAATTCTGAAGGACAAACCTTAAACACCTTTAGCTGCACACTTAATAAAGAGGATGCAGCACTATTAAAAGCCTTGAAACATCACGCAGTAGCTGGGAATCTAAAGGTGGTTAAAAGATTTTGAATCAAGTGTAAGCAATTCAAGTAGTGAGCATATGAAAAAAAAATCCCTTCACAAATTATTTAAGCTAGTTATTTATTTTCTTAGATACCAGTTTCAATGGTTGTAACAGGATACATTATCTTTCTCCCATCCAGAGTTGAGAATACACAGTAGCGTTTTCACAAGAAAGTACTTCAATATGGCTAAGAGGGCTATTGTTATTTCTTTGAGAATGTGAGTCCATTTAAACCTTTTTTTCTATAGCTGACGTGTTGTAATGTAAACTTCAGATACTATGTTGTGAGTGTACTCATAGTAGTAGTTTTAAAAGTTGTTTACATACGATACGCAATAAGTAAGTCACATTTTGGCATCTTATATTGCAGTGATACAATAAAGTGGGCCAAAGGATACAGGACATGAGAGTCAGAGTGGGTGACAGATGCCCAGCAGATGGAATTCACCTGAAACACAGAGCAGAAGGTGGGTGCAATGCATCAGCACACTTGTCATTGCTAACTTAAGCTGCTGTCATCTTCAGTCATTGGTTCATTTTTATAAATCACAGACCAGGGCTCCCCAGATCTGCTCCTTAACAGCAGCAGTCCAGCAGATTCTGTTTATCTTATTAAATCGCTGATAGCACAAGAACACAGAAAGAGGTGTAAACACAAAGTGGTGTACTGTAATGAAAGCTTAATTTGGAACAATTGAAACCACCTGCATGGATCTGAAGTTGCTTATTATTTAAGAAGAATCACAGAATCTGTTGGGCTGTTACCCCCAAGACCAGACTTAGGATACCCTGTCTTACAAGCCCAAGGGAGTACTTTTTCTTAAATTCTACAATTTGCTGGATGAATGCATTCACATTTAAGAACAGAGCGACTGGGGATGTGGACAAACTTTTTCCCAAATTCAGGATTAGATATCGATTATATCACATCACCTACAGTAACCGCTTATTTAATTCAAGGTTATGGTGGCCCAGAGCCTATCTCAGGAAGCATTGGGTGCAAAGAGAGATACAACCTTAACAGAACACCAGTCCACTGCAGGAGAAACACAGACACAGACATGCACACTCTCACACCAGGGCCACTTTCCATAAGCCAATGAACCTACCAGCATGTCTTTTTTACTGTGGGAGGAAACTGACACGAAGATGAGAAAAACATGAAAACTCCACACAAACAGCACCTCAGGAATTGAACCCTGGATCCCAGCACTGCGAGGCAGCAAAGCTAACCACTGTGAAATCGTGCCAACCATTAGTTACACATATTATAAATAATATTACTTTTCTGAAGCTTTTTTTTCCCTCACACTACAATTCTTCCACCACAGAGGTTTTTCATATATGTCTACTGTGTACAGCTGGTATTTATAGGTCCACGGCTTCTTTAAGGTGAAGGTGAGCAGGTTCTGCTCCAGATACAGAGGCACTACCTTGCGGTTGGTGAAGTAGAGGTTGTCGCACATCTCCACGGAGAGAGAGCCCTTGCTGCAGCCTCTGAAGTTCATGATCCCATATTTGCAGCCTCCGTGCTCAACGTCATTCACGGTGAAGACGCGCTCACAGGCAGAGTCCGCCTAAGGGAGGGGATTTATTCATAGAGACAACAAATTTATTTGAATAGCTTCTCGAAAAGAAGACGAACCCGTTGACATCAAGGCTTTAAATGAATCAACCAGAGTTCAAATGAATCACTTAGAGTTCAGGTTGAGAGCTGTAGGCCTGATGCCACCAGGCTTAGCCAGGCCCATGTCATTGTACTAGTAGGACAGACATTTCTCAAGCTGCAGTGCATAACAGGGCCGAGGACAGCCAAGATCAGGTTCCTTGACCTGTGGCAACTCCAAGGAGCGTGCGTGGGCGCCTGCAGTGATGTTAGTAGAGATATGACACCTGTTCCGCTGATGCTAACTCCTCTGTAAGGCACTGGGCAGTGAATGTCAACGTAGGGCATATTTCAGGAATGCATGCACAAGTTCTCTTTGTGCTTTCATGTTGTCAAGCATAGATGACTAACATTTTGCACATCCATGCAGATGAGTATAAAACATATACAGTAAAATAATTTGTGACTGTGATTCTAGAAAAGACTTATTCACTAAATAACAAAGTTTACTCGTTGTGTCTGAAAATTGTGGGTAAAAGATGGTACTTGTGACTCACCACGATGAGCTTGAAGTTGTCTGTATTAGGGCTGGTGGAGTCGGAGCTCTGCACCTCTAACTTGTGTCTCCGCATACTGGTCACCTTCAGCTCGTGGATCAGCCTGGAGTCACAAAGACAGCTTGAGCCTCAAGCAATACTTTTTAAAATCCCTTCCAGAAACTAACACGCCAACTGTACTGTCACAAAACACATATCTAACCTTTTTAACTCTTCTGGAAATGAACTGAGTGAAGTGTAATATATAATCTGCACTGGTAAAACCAGTGCATCCACAGTGGCAATATATTGTAAATGCTGCCATGCTACTTCATGCATAAAAAAATAATAATTGTAAGAGAAAGTGCATTCACAGTGACTTGCAAAAGTATTCAGACGCTTCACAGTTTTCACATTTTGGTGCTTTAAAACTTGTATTCATGAGACTTTGAAGAAGCCATTAATATCTGTAATAAACACAACCTATTCCTCACATTCAAAGCAAAATCCTTAGCTGTGGCAAACCTAAATTAAGGTGCGCTAAATTACCTTAACGAGCTACAAATATTTAAGCAATCAAAATATTTTTTTACTCTAAAGTTTTTGTAGACATTACCTGTAACTTATCCTTCTCTTAGAAGCATACAGCTTGATCGTTCATGATTTGAACAAAACGTTTAAAAATGTGTATGCATCGGTCTGGGATTTCAGAAAACAAGGACTCCACAGGTGTCCTGTTTGAATACTTTTGCAAGGTAGTGTAAGACTGAGAACAGGAAGCAGTTCCTTATACAATTTATTGTGGGAGCCTGGAACACACTATTCAACCATGTTGTTAAAGCTGACACAATGAAACTCCCTCCAAGAAATGTAGGATGAGATCTTCAAATCAATCACCTATCAACAAGGCAGATGGGCCACATGGCCTCCCTGTTTGTAACCCTTTCTTATGTAGTAATTGACTGCTTTCAAAGATTATCTGTTAAAAATTAAACACACTGATAACAACGAAAATAATTATTGCCGTGCTGTACCTGCAGTATGAGCTCTCTGCAACTAATCCCATGTGTCTTTTTTGAAAAAGTAATGTTGAATTTAAACCAACTCGGGGGGACTTCTAGAGGAAGGGAGACAAAAAAAGAATAAAGACAAACATTACTCTTCAAGAATAAGCCCACAACGTGGAAACACTTGAATCTGGGGTTGCATAAAGAAAGGCATTTCTATAATTGAATGCAACATAAATGTCGTAAGAATAATTGTTTTATATTGTAACAATCAAATCTGGTTCACCACAGTAGTAGAGAAAAGGATGTGTGAAACAAGAGTAATAATAAATTATACTGGTTTACTAATGTACTGGAATTGAACTGGATTAAACATGAAAATAATTAGAGGGTTTGCAAATTTAAAGTAAACAAAGAACAAGCCTTAAAATAAAGCAAAACCAAAACAGAACAATAGCGCTCTTTTGCTGCTCTTGACAAAGTATATTCTGATGTATTGCCAGGATTGCATTGCATTCCAATTGTACATTTCTAACATCTCTGTAGCAGGAGCCTTAAAAGAAGAACAAAAGTTTCCAGTGCTTTCCTGCTTTCACCAAAAAAAAGCAATATAAACTAGAGTTCTTGAAGATAGTGCAGTTTGCAGAGGAAGATTTGCTCCTACACATGCAGAATCCTAGAACATTCTTTCAATATACAGAAAACTGTTTTTTTATATTTCTCCCAAGTAGAGGTCCTCCGAGCATTAAGATCAGTGATTTACCACAAAAGAGACAAAAGTGAACAAAAGACTTAAACCTTCTAAGGGAGTGGCTCAATTACACCAAAGGGGGCAGTACTGAATTAAAGGTCTAATAAGGAAATTTTATACATCTCAGAGCTGCCTAACCAAAATGAAAAAGTGAGAAGCAATTACCTGGGCGGGTTAACAGCTGGATAATTAACAAAAGATGACAGCATGTTGATTATGTTGGAGAAATGTGTCTATTGACACGATTTCAGCCAGTTAATACAAACAAAGTAAGCATGAAGTTCAGTTAAATGTCTCAACAGTCACACTTGCTGTAACAGTGGCATCTTCTGTTACACATCATAAAAACGGAATTGTCTTCTGAGCCACGTCCTGACAAATGTGCAGGATACCAACAATTTACTTCAGAAATGCAGTATTAATTGTCTTTTAAAGTTAAGAAACATTTTTTGCTCCACAGCAACAGTTCTTACATTTCAATATACTGTATAAGACATGTTTCAGTCAAGAAACTTTACCAATACAAAAATAGAGGCATCCTACATTTGTCTAGTTGTTAGAATAGTACCAAGCAGATTTCTAGTGGCTTGTATATCCCTTAAATCAGATACACATATTTCCAGACTACAGGGCACAGAAAAACGGCAAGATTAACAAAAAAACGGGAGAACTGGCACAACTCCCCAGGTCTTGTGGGGGACCTTGTCCAATTCTGGCCCCACTCCGAGCTCACCTTCCTGGGTTGTTCATCCTCCCTCAGCAGCCTGACTCGCTGGCTTTCCTGTTGCTCCTTCTGCAGGCCTTCCCTGGTCAGGGGGTTGCAGTTGTTATGCCCTGGCAGAAGGCGGAAATAGCGGTTCTTCTCTGGGTCAAAGTAAAAACCAGGCAGATCTGGAGGAGGAAATAAAATTTGATTTTACTTCCAGGTTGAGCGTCTTTCCAGAACCCCTAAAAGGATGCTATAAAAATAGAATATCTATATTTTTATTTGCTATGCATGTTAATTAAAAATGAAAAAACAGGTGGGTTTGTCGCTGGAGTGAGCAGACCGTTGTGTACATCCAGTTTATCTCTCCCCAAGCACACAGCGTTGCACTGATCTTGAGAACGAACGGTCAGCTACCCATGTTTGCAGGTTCCTTACAGCCAGGAGCCACCACCAGCAAAACTATCCGGCCAGAAACATCCTCACACAGAGCAAATGGCAGAAGCCATTAAGCAGCAACTGACCTGGGGCAGAGGCTCTGGAAGATGAGCTTGTCGAGTCTGCTGGAGGAGCCTGCACATTCCGAGAAGTCCCAGGAACACTGCTCCCATACCTGTGGACAGGAAACAGAGGCGAGAGAATGAAGGCCTGTGAGTGCAAACATTTTAATATACGATGTCCTGTCTGTAACACTAATTCATCTAAAATGTTTTTAAAAAATGAAGAACAAAAATGGGTTCAGGTTTCAGTTGGATGATATCTGGAGATAAATTGAAGGACTAGCGTGGAAAGCTTCTCAGAGTAGTGGTAATCTAATACAAACAACGTTCTCCAAGTAGTATATCCTCCAATATCTTGACTCCCTTAAAATCGATGGAGCTGTTACGGAGACATGGTACGTAAAGGTTAATTGCATACTGAAAAGAAGAAGCACAATGTTGAGCCTTTTTTAGGTTTCATCACAAATTTAGGCATGGTTCTAAAAAAGTATTAAGGACCTTGACAAAAATGCACAGTACTACTGTAGAAAAAGGGGATTAGGCAGTCAAATAAACACTTAAGCCAAACCAAAATGCTCTTCATAGAACAAGAAGCCAAATGTGAGTCTATAGTATTACAAAGACAAATAAGACTCATATTTGTTTAATTTCCCTATAATCATCTGCACCTATTACACACATGGCAATAACATTCATACAGTGCAAAATCTCGAGGAATGTAGCATTGTTGCTGCACCTTAAAATTTGTTTTCTAGTACAATATCAGATTTCAAGTCCAGGTTTTCTGTCATGATATTGTTATTTTGAGTAACTGATTTCATTTGAGAGTTTCTAGGTCACAGGAAATGAAATGACTTGGTGCCGAAAAAAAGTGTTAGCTTTAGCAAGGGAACACGCACCCACCATGGACCAAACCCCCGCTACATTTTATAGCACTATCTCAGTCCAAACCAATCATTACAGTATATCCACTTAGACGGTCCTTTCACACCATTTGAGATACATTTCCCCCCAATTCTGGCTTTGCTTGACTTCTGCAAACCTTTAATCAAGGAGAGCCCAGCGCAGGCAGTACTTTTCTGTCTTGGTTGCCATCAGCCTATTCAAACAGGTCTATTCACACAGTGCTCATGATGGTCTTTAAGTGCTGCTCTTCACAAACAGTGTAAAAGCTACTACAAGCTGCAGCTACAAAACAATAGCCAATCCTGTGGCTCCGTCATAGACCTAACTGAATAAACAGGAAGTTTAGAAATACATGCAGATATCACGGCTTGCTTATCTGCACCGTGCACCTGCGATTCACTAGTGGAAAATTTGAAATTGTACAGGACCTGTGACTAAAAGTTCTATTAGCAACTCACGTGCTCAGCGGAAATCTGAAATATCATTGCTATTTCATCACTATCACGCCTCAAAATACTGGATTTTCTTTCAGATTGTCTTTTTGTCTGGTGTAAGATTTGAAGAATGCAGACTGGAAATTAGTCAAAACAAAATATATATATATATTTCCTTGGTAATGGAGAGTTTTTGTTTTTTATTTGTTTTTCCACATCTTCTAAATTAATGTAAATCAAAAACACAGAGACAGTGATGTACTCTTTTATCAAAAGACTAAGGGATTTAACTTTGGTCATTTCTACAGAATTCTCTCTTTTTGTGTGCAAATGAAGACTATATCTGCTGCAAACCAGTCTAGTATAGTGAATATCACATCAGGACCCTGTTATGGGAAGTGCTCTCTAGGGTGTATTCTGAGAACCTAGGGTATATGACACAAGACAAACAGAGCTGTCTAGTGCAAACACAAGGGCTTGGAAGGTATACCTTTCCTCTTGAGATCTGTGGCTAGAGTGGTCCCTTTGCCATCCTGGGTTATGATGTCTCCTGCGATCAGCTCCCCTGTCCCGCCAACTCCCCTTCTTCATCCCTGTATTCTGATGAAAATGGGATTAGGATTAGGATTAGGGTTAGGTATGTAACCATACAAAGAAGCCTAAAAGATACAGTAGTCTTTTGGAAGTGTTACTCTGTTACTCTGATCCAATTCAGGGGTCGTGGGTAAGCCAGGACCTATCCTGGCAAACAAACGGGTACAAACCAGGGTACACCCTGGACACCAGTCCATCGCAGGGCCCACACACGGACACATGCTCACATCTGGCCAAATTATATCAGAAGCCAATGAACCCAGCAGTATGTTTGTAGAGTGTGAGAAGAAACCGAAGCACTCAGAGGAAACCCATGTAAACACAGGGGGAGCACACAAACTCCCCGCAGATATCACCCCAGGGCTGGAATTTAAACCCAGGGCCCCCAACGCTGCAGCAGAGCAATGCCAACTACTGTGCCACAGTGCTGCCCTCTGTTCTCTTTAAGACACCAAAAATAATGTGATAAAATAATGCGAGTTTTTTAAACGTTTGCAAAAGGACAAATAAAAAACACAAAAGGAACTAAATTCTTAACTCATTCTATGCTCAGTTTGAGGTCAGTAACGCCGATCCAGCCAGGAGGACTCCAGAAATCCAGGGCAAACACCCACTGATCATATCCAGAGCGGATGTATGTAAAGTTTTTAAAAAGACCAATCCACACAAGGCTCCTGGCCCTGATGCTATCCCTGGCTGTGTTCTGAAGGCATGTGCAGAGCAGCTGGCAGATGCCTTCTCGGACATATTCAATCTTTCTCTAGCTCAGTCTACAGTTCCTTCCTGCTTTCAGAAAACCACCATCGTCCCTGTCCCTAAGACACCCAGAGTCAGCTGCCTTAATGACTACCACCCCGTTGCACTCACATCAGTTATCATGAAGTGCTTTGAGCAGTTGGTCAAAGCATACATCACCTCCTCACTGCCTGACACTCTTGACCCATTGCAATTTGAGTATCGCCAGAACAGGTCCAACAGAGAATGCTATTGCCACTGCGCTTCATACTGCCCTCTCACACCTGGATAAGAAAGGAAGATATGTGAGAATGCTCTTTGTTGATTACAGCTGAGCATTCAATACCATAGTGCCCTTGAAGCTTGTCATCAAGCTCCAGGACCTGAGAATGAACACCTCCCCTTGTAACTGGATCCTGGACTTCTCAACAGAACGTCCGCAGGTGGTGAGGGTGGGCACCAACATATCCTCTACCCCGACTCTGAACACTGGAGCCCACCAAGGCTGTGTGCTTAGCCCTGTCCTCTACTCCTTATTTACCCATGATTGTGTCGCCAGGCATAACTCAAACTCCATCATTAAGTTTGCGGATGATACAACAGTCATCGTCCTGATCACAGATGGTGAAGAGTCTGCGTACAAGGAGGAGGTTGAAACCCTGGCAGCATGGTGCCAGGAGAACAACCTCTCTCTGAACATTAGTAAGACTAAGGAGAGGATCTTGGATTATAGGAAACATCAGGGAGCAGGTCACATACCTATTCATATCAATAGAAGTGAAGTGGAGAGGGTCAGCAGTTTTAAGTTCCTGGGAGTTAACATCACTTAACCTGGACCCACCACACCAACACCGTGGTCAAAATAGCACGGCAGGGCCTATTCTTTCTCCGCAGGCTAAAGAAGTTTGGCATGCTGTCCCATATCCAGGCCAGCTTCTATACAGTAGGTGCACTATTGAGAGTATCCTGACTGGTTGCATCACTGCCTGGTATGGGAGCTGCTCCAGTCCAGGTCCATTCTCAAGAACCCCAGTCATAAACTGTTTTCTCTCCTACCGTCCGGTAAACGGTATCAAAGCATCAAAGTCCAACAGATTACGGAACAGCTTCTACCTCCAGGCAATAAGACTGCTAAATAGCCAAGCTGCAGTTCCTTCAGCAAATCACCCATAATGGCTACATGGACATACAGTTTTCACTGTATGCAGCATACTGCACTACTTGGACATAATATATTGCATAAACCCTGGACACATAGCAGCTCTATTTATAGAGTTTTGTCTGAGTTTATTTCTATCGCACTATTATCTGTCATCATGTAACCTTATTTTGTCACTTTAATTTTGTGATTTTTACCCCCCCGGTGAGCTCATAGATAAGACATTTCATTGCCAGCAACTACTGCTGCATGCTGTATTGTTGTGCATTAAATAAAGAAACTTTGATTGATTGATTGACAACAGCATAGCGGTTAGCGCTCCCATCACCTTCTGAAAGGTGCGTCTTTCATGTTTTCCCTGTATTCACAGTGATGTTCTCCAGGTATTTCAGGTTCCTTACACCACCCCGTGACAATACTAATCACTGGTGTCTCTAACGTGTGTCACTGTGCTCTCTGAAAGACTGCCGTGCTGTCCAGGGTTTCTCCACTCGGCCCAAGCATACCATCTATGCCTACAGGATAGGCTCCAGGTGGCGGGATGGAGAAATCTTGGGAGTTTTCAAAAAGCCCATCCTGAAGCTGTTAAAATTTGAACCATTTCACAATTCTGATATATTCTTGCAACATATTTACATATTTCCATTCATCGAGCAACAAGAATTATTGGATGAAGATAATTGTACATAAATTAGCTCCATCAAGAAACAGTAAGGTGCAATCAGTCAATGTACACTGAATATTCAAGAAAAAAAGGGAATTGCTCATTACTTGTATCAAAAACCCTGTTACTGATTTGATGTTTTCTAATCTTAGACCGGTATAATTAAAAAACATTCTAACCTCATTAGTAGGGTAAAGGTTTGGATTCATAACTCGATTGTTTCATTATGAAATATGCAGGTAAATCACTGAATACATATAGCCAGCTGGTGCTGGTAAAATAATTGAAATAAATACTACGGTTATGATTAAACGTAATTTTGTTTAAAGAACTGAACATCCATGGCGTTGACCGTCAGTGAACGCTAGCAGTCCGTCAAAGACAAGACCATCAATATGCATGTAATTCATGGTGTATTTGCGCGTACCTATCCCTTAAAATGAGATTCTGTTTCTGAGATTCTGAGTCCCGTTTCTTCTTTGTAGATGAGAATTATTTTCCCTCAATTGACGTATCTCTTGACTAATTCCCTTATAAAGCAAATGAAAGTATCTGAGCAACTACTGTAATAGCTTCATGCAATCATACAATAAATGGATAAGTGATGGCAGCCTATTCTAGGATAAAAGATAACACAATAACGTAAATTTCAATCGGTACATATGCCACCGATATCGGACATAGTACACTTCAGGTTTATGGCGTAAAGGTTTACCTTTTGAGCTGACAGTGTGTAAATGAAGTCCCACTGGTATGTGTTCACAGAAAACACCCTTAACTACGTAAGCGTACCGCAATCACTTCACATCACTTAAATTACTTCTATTTTTTGTTGCCAGTATCGTGCAAAACAACACTCAATTCCAATCGTAATAAGGTAAAATACCCATTACAGCAAAACTAACAAAGGGCAGCTGTACTCCTATCAAAATCAATATGAAAGGATAAGCAGTTGTTTATTAAAATATATTAAACGCACATTTATAGTGGTTCACATACTGTAGCTACATATTTTAACTAAATTTCAATCATTGTGAATATCTCAATCGTAATCATGAAGTATCTACCAGTTGTATTTAAGGATTTTAATCAATGATCCTATTTTCATAAAGCCCCTCTAAAATACACATCTAAAAAGATACAATCCCCTCAAAGGTTGTCCAAACTATAACAAACAAAGTAAAGTCCATTGATCAGAACTTTAAAATTACCAAATAACATTAATAAAAAAATATTTAAAAGACAGCAACATTCGCTTTTCCTGTTTTACCTGCCACAACGCTGCAACCACGTGATGTTCGCCAGCCCCGCCTTTCGTCTCCTATTGGTCCATTTCTGACGCTGCGTGGCGTCCTGGAGCACGTGATTGACTTCCCTGCGTATCAATTACACTGGCGGCTTTGCTGTTTTGCTCTGAGCACAGAAGTGTGTCCAGTATTGTAATGTGGTATTACTGTTTGCTCGCATGAAACAGGTTCTGTGCTATTTGAGAATTAAGGTAAACAAAGGTTGTTAATAACCGATCATTAAAAAGGTAAAACACGACACTGAAAAAGGAACACGTGTATTAGTGTAATATTTCATTGAAGTCGGTGTTCTCTGTGACTTCATGAACTGAATTTAATGCTTGAAGGCAGTTTTGCCGTTATGCTTTCTCACACTGTATTTTTTATTTTATTTTTGTACAACATTTTAACAACTCCCCGCCTCCGCACTCACAGTTGCGTTTTGAGTCAATAGCTTTGCGGCTGGTACGTCGTTATTGCTTTGTAATTGTAACTTTTGTCCCCAGTGTTATTGATCTGCTGACCCGAGTTGCAAATCTTTTACGAACTACAATATGCCTCTTTCTCATAGAAATGTAGACACTCAGCTTTTACATAAAAACAGAAATGACCAATGCTGTGAGTTAAATGAATTTTGTATTGTTGACTTGAAAATGCTGAACATTTGTGTTGCATAAATATCCAGGGACGTCAAATACGAATAATAGATTTATTCGCTGCTTCTAATAGCTGCTAGGAAAGAAGCACACGAAAAGAGCTTTATCATCCAGTGATGGAATTGGAAACAATTAGTTTGTTTTAGCCATTAAATGTATTTTAATGAAGATAAAAGGAATAACGGGTACGAAACAAAGCAACAACCTCTCGTCCCCTCAAACTGAGTATGGGTGATAAGATAATTAGTACTTTTATTTGATTTAGTAGGGACTCAAGTTAACAATACGAGGATAGTTTTTGCTTTGTCTCTTTAAGAGATGAGGTATCCAGTTGGTCTAATGTACAAAAGAGCGCACCCCCTTCGAATGGACTTGACAGTTATTCTCGTAGGCCACGCCTTATCTTGAATTTCTTATTTCGGATTGGCCAGTGAGTCGGACACGTTGGCGCTGATTGGACGTTTTTTTCGTAGGGTTCCCTCAGAACTCTGAGACACAGAATATTGGGTTACAGTGTAGCAAAATGGCGACTGTCATTCAGAATCCACTCAAAGCGTAAGTAATTCTCAAAATTTAATACAGTTATAATTTGCGAACTTTTCTGTTTCTGTTTTTGAGCACCGTGCAAAGAAAGGCAACACAAATAGAAACTCACAACAGAATGCAGTTGTTAGGGCACGCGTACGTTTTGTCTTGTGTTATTTTTCCCCATACATCTTGACAAATAATAATTTAAATAGTTTTGTATTATTATTTTTGGTGCGATACGTAGAGTGCAGCATGATCACGCTGGGTTAAGCAGAACGTGTTGCAAAGCCGTTGAACGAATTCTAAAAAATGCCGAAATAAGACATTTATACAAACGGATCGCGATTTCGTTTTTATCAGACTGTACACACAAAAAATAAAAAAGTTAATATTTTCACTCTTCGTTGTACTTGCAAAGCGCGACAGCTGTTTTCCGTGCGAAAATCGTATTGTTCATGTAGGAAAGTCTTTTTGCAGGATTAAGCATATTGACTCATCAGAACTCTTTTTAAAATATATATAACCTTTGTGCAGAACCGCTGATTATTTCCGCAGGTCCTTTGCTGCATGATTGTACTTTTTAAAAAGTTTGTTAACTAGGTTTTCACGGAACAGTCTGATACGCTCTATGCAATAGACTTTCCTTTTAAACGCCGTTTGATAATCCGGTTTCTTGCAAACTCACAGATTTTACCATGATTATTTCACGATGGTTCACGGATTCTAAACATCAAAGCAGTAAATGTTTTTCTGTCACAGGAAAAGCTTAAGCCATTCGGTATGACCATAGCATTACAACGAGATTCGGGTTTAAAATTTATCTTTTGGTCTGTGCGTGCGTTGCTCGTATCTATTCCCCACAGAGCAGGAAAACAGGAGGTCGCTTTCTCTGGAGGTGTGAACTGCTGTTATTGGTGGGGGTGGAGGATAGTTGAAAGATTAGATTGCTGAATCGACTGTTGGCATTTACTGTATGAAGATGACATCAAGCAAATGAGCAGATTGTTAGTTTCAAGGGTAAACGGGATTACCTAAGAATTAAATGCTACCCTTTGTCCCAGACACGACTTTGTAGATGCTGTTAGCCTGCTATTAGTATTACCCCTTTTGTGGAACATATAAATTAAAGAGTGCTTTTCAGAAAGTTTGACTAAACTCAGAGACTTGTAGCAAGATACCGCCTTGAGTCGTGACTAGTGGTGGTTCTGATATGTTTTTCGAACGCGAATGGCTTCTACTAAAAAAGATTCTTACATTTAAAATGCCAAACTACAAATATTGTCAATCGGAAAACAAAATGTTCATTACCGTCGCGCCTCGCATAGTTCAAGCTTCCGACTGTTTACTGTTTTCTTTTAAGTGTAAAGGTTAGTTATCTGTGAGTTTAAATGCAACATTTCCTCATTTTAATTTTTGTTAAAGTGTAATTCAAATGGTAAAAAAATATATACGATATAAGTATCATTTTGCAGAAGCTGATAGCTGCTTATTATCCAGGTGTGACATTTTAAGTTAGGATGAAAGTAAGCAGACTTCAGCGTATTGTAACATGCATGTATCTGTTACATTTCCAGTTAGAGTGTGGAGGTAAGTAGGAAACGAGGAAAAACATAATTATACTTAGTTTTTTCTAACTTTGTGAATTTGCTAGTATAATAATTTACTGGGGCCTGAAAAAATGATATTTGTATAAAGGTGATGATGCACATATGTTCGTAATGTTGTCATTTACATGCTGGGATTATGCCCACATCTAGACCCAAATCAATAATCAACAATTTAATAAAAATGGACACGAGAGCTTGTTTGGTTGACTTTCTTAGGTGGAAATGCCTAAACCACAGAAGGCAAACCCACGTTCAATACAGGAAGGAATATGGTTGTTATAAAAAGACAGGAGGTCATTCAGCCCAGGTCATTGGTTTTTAGTAGCTGATTGATCCAAGGATTTTATGCAACAATTTCTTGAAAGAAGCCAGGGTATCGACTTCAACAACATGGCTGGGTAGTTTATTCCATATTCCCACAGCCCTTTATTGTTATAAAGTCCAGCCTGATTTCAGTTTTAAATTTACTTCCCCATGGTTTCTACTTGTGTCGTCTTGTTTAGTACTGATTCTGGAGGAGTCCGTTGGGTTGACTTTTAAATACTGTACTTGAATCAGGTTTCCTTGTAGTTTTTTTGTCAAGAAATATTATTTTCTGTCAGCCTGTGAGGGTAGGACATTCCTATGAGCTCCGGAATATAACTGGTCATTCTTCTTTGGAACTCATTTCCTCCATATATATACAATAGTGTATTGTATCAGGAGATGACATTGAATTTAGCGTTTCCACCTATGACTATAACTTAGGATAATAAGGAAAAGTGTTTGAATTCTTATGGAAAGATTAATCCAATGTGATCCAAAGTGTGTAACGTAAAAATAGTTTTTCTTCTTTTTGCTAATTCATTTCATTTATAAATGTCACTATTTTCAAATCAATAATGTCTTCCTTCTAGTGCTTGAGTGCTTGAGTAGGGGGTTAAGTATCCTTTTAGGAAGTTAATTATTTTTTTAGCTTTAAGGAGAAAACTGAGTAAGTTTGAATGAGGTTTAATAACTTAAGGGTGTCAACTGCTTTTTTGAAAAATCTATTAAAAGGGTTGAAGTTTATCAATTCATTTCTTTGCATTCTTTAAAGTCTCCTCTGGCAGTACTCTTTTTAAGGCAATGTTTCAAGAAAATCATGAATTGGGCTGCTTTTTAAGGCTCTGTAACCTGGTGTGCCCAAACAGTGAACTGTCTGTGCTTTAGCCCTTTGTTTTATTTTCATTCTTTATGTATACATGAATCCCGAAATATTCATTTATCATGTTTTCCTTGTGATATTTGAAAAAAATAAGATTAGCTCAAAAGTGCACATACACAATTTGACATTTAAGTATGTAAACAGTGGATAAAGGCAAGCAGTCTTTTTAAATAAGGTAGAGAAGTAATCAGTAATTATGGACTGGACATAAGGCCAAGAGTCAGAAGCACTATTCTGGAAGATGTCAGCAAAATGCCATCCACTGAAATCTGAGCTTTGTTTTGTGACATTAGCAGCGACAAATAAAATAAATGAAAGTTAGGCTATGACTGCAGCATTCACATCACAGCACATACCTATTATTATTTTCACACACAGGGTTGGGTGCTCTACACTCAAAATAAAACATGTCCCCTAGAATTTGCTGTACAAAATTCTTTGTTATTTTCAAGCTCAGTGAGTGTATTTGTGCATTAGTGGTGAATAGTAGTGATTCCCGAGTCTGGTCCTGGAGGAACACAATGTCTTCTAGTTTTTGCTCCAGCCAAGAATCATATTCATGTGTTCAGTGAAATATTTTTAAGTTTAGTATTATATATAATTATTATATACGTGTTTTAGAGCATCACAACATATAACGAGAGAGAAGCCACTGGGTATACTGTGATTGTGCTGTTAAGTATAACTGTATAAACGTATTATCCTCACCATGCTGCTTTTATGTGTTCAGTGAAATATTTTTAACTTTATGGCATATTTGTAAATGTGCCTTCAGCTTCTAAAACTGGGAACTGGGATTTGTATTTGGTATAATCCATTTACCAGTTTCTGAGTTTCAGAAAGTCCCCTTGCTCAGGCATGATGTCAGATATGTAACCAATTGGATCTCTGCAGAAGGGAAAACAATGCTCATTGTGAACATGCCTTGTACAGTGTCACTCATACCTGTGTCTGTTTATCATCAATTGCCCAACTAGTAAGAGCCATGAAGTCAGAAATAACAACACACAAGATGAGGAGAGGCAGGATAAGGTTTAGTGTGCTGGAATTGCTGGAAACCGTACCACTGAAGCAGGGTATTTTTGATACTCAGGACAGACCGCAGAATCAAGTTAAATAAAATAGCAAGTCATCAATGGAGAGATAAGCTAGAATGAAAACTAGCAGTCACACTATTCCTCCAAGTCCAGGGTTTGGAATCATTGAGTTAAAACGTGAGGATGAAGTAATTCAGCCCCCTTTCCATATCTGTTTCCATTTTTCTATAATACAACAATCAGTACATGACCACAGAGAGGTACCACTGTGTGTCTCTTGATAACGTTAAGCTGTTATTTAACCTTTAAATACTGCAACTTAGATTTCCGTTATTAGGTCCATAATGTATATAATTTATCCATTACTTGAGTTGCCTTGCTTGAGTTACACCAGCCCAGTTATTTTTGTTATGTTAAATCACGTACTGTCTGTGTGGGTTCTGTGGGAGGGTAAGGTTTAGTGGTGTTAAAGCAGTACACAGCACAGAAAGACAGGACAAATTTCAAGCATAACAGCTATGAATGGACAGGGTAAAAAGAGGCTTTGTTATCCTCTAAAGCAAAGGATTAACCTTTTTAAGATAATGTAAAATTGGCATTTGAGCATTTTAAGTCTTGCCTGAATTATACTTGTGCGGAGGTAAGGCTTTCAGTTATCAGCACACCTCATTTACTTATTTTGTGGTATAACCTGTCCTGCATTTTGCATATTCTGAAGGGAAATGAGGTTAATTGTCTTAAAGTACACTTACAGTTTTGGAGTGTAGAAGTATGATGGTCATGAGTAGGCATCAGGATACTTACAAATATTGTGACCCGGTACTGTCTTCTGTTTACAAAATTCTTCTTGAACTGTTTACCACCTGTGGAGATGATTTCAGAGCATTGACAATATCAGGAATACCCATAGCAGGGGCACTGCAGTGTCATATCCCAACTGGAAAATTCCCATTTTTTATTGGAGCCATGCTGGTGACCTTTTGAAAACATCACACAACTGAGAAATAACCTTCAGCACGCAACAGTCGTTAGGCACTCCTACGCTAATCAGTCTCAAATGACTTAATAACTAGAAGAACCTCACTCTGTATGCCTTTTGAGATATAGCTGTGTACAAAAATGGTAAAGATGACATTTGAATTTGATTATGCATTACAAGGAAAGTGGTATTATCTTATCTGTAGCCATTCCTTTTCT